CCAACTCCATTTATTACTACTCCCTGCTTTCTACTCTACAGCCAATTTCCTATCCAATTTGATAACATTCCCCCCACAGATTTAATTTTTGTAACAAGTCTTTTGTGAGGCACCTTATCAATCGCTTTCTGAAAATCAACGTAAACCAAATCCACAGTATTTCTTTCATCAACAACATCCTCAAAGTATGTCAGAAGATTTGTTAAACAAGACTTAGTGAAACCATGCTGGCTCTTTGACACTATATCAAACTGCTTTAAGTGACTCTGCAATGCATCTTTAATCACACTCTCCAAAACCTTTCCAACTACTGATGTAAGACTAACTGGCCTATAATGTTTTTTAATCCCATGGCACCTGTGTAATGTTCAATCCTGAGGATGACGCAGTGATATACGTCAAAACATGCAGAGTGTATGAGACTGCTTTCCAGTCTCATCAGGTTTTTTACCCTGTACAGTAAATTGTATTCTATTGCTAGCAGTTCACAAATAAAATCTTTAAGTTCTTTTAAAACTCTAGGATAAATGTTGTCTAGTCCAGGGGATTTATAAATTGTAAGGTTTTCCAACTTTTCTCTTACAATTTCAAAACTTAAAATGTTATCTTTTACATCAATATTTCCCCTATACATTAAGTGCTCTGGTTGAGGCATAATACTTGCATGTTCCTTCATAAAAACTGAAGAGAACATATAATTTAATAAGTTTATCATTTCATAATCTTCCAAGATCAGCTCCCCACTATCATTTTAAAGAGGCCCAATCCACGTACTAACATTTTGCTTACCCATCATATACCTAAAGAATTCCTTATTGTTTGATTTAACTCCCTCAGCCAACCCTCTTTCATGTACAGTTTTTGCCCTTTTAACTTTCTTTTTAACCAGCTCTCTTGATTTCCTATAGTTCTCCAAGTCCTTGTTATTTCCAGTAAGTTTAAATTTTTTGAATTTATTATGTTTATCCCTAATATGACCTCTTAAGCCTTTACTTAACCATACTGCCCTTTATCTTCCATAGGGAATATGTATGTTCTGTATGTGTATAAATTTTCCCTAAATGTTTCCCACATCTGTTCAACATCCTCTCCCAACTCTTTAGTCCAATCTACAGAAGCCAGATCAGGTCTCATTCCATCAAAATTGCCTTTCCTGAAATTTGGAATCAGGGTACTATTCTTCTTCAATTCTACACGTAGTAAAATCCCACATCTAAAACTGCAAAGGTGGACTTAAATGCTCACCAACTACAACTCTGTCTACCATATTCACTTCAGATGCTAATATTAAATCTAATATAGCTTCCTGTCTTGTAGGTTCCATCACCAGTTGGTGTATAAAACTATCCTGAACAATTTCCAAAACCTATCCCCCTCACTGTCAGACTTAACATTTTCCCAATCAGTAACCATGAAATTAAAATCTCCCATAATAACATCTTTTTCAGCTACCATTCTGATCTCATTATACAGTTTCTCATTAACTTCCACATTCTGACCTGGTGGTCTATAACAAATCCCAATTACAAGACTTTTCCCTTTATATCCACTAACACTAACCCAAACTGACTCCACCTCAGTGCTATTTTCTTTAATATGCTTTAACTCAATAGGATGCAATTCACTCCTCACATATAAAGATACTCCTCCCCTTTTCAATACTCTATCTCTAGCCTGGTATTTCAAAAAAATTGCTTTTGTGAAAATTGTTAAAATACAACCAAGTCTCAGTGATAACCATAATATCAAAATCCTTAAACAAAATCTGTAAATACCATGAGAGGGAGCATTTCATGTTCTAGCTAGTCAGGACTGAACCTACATACACGACATTATGTATTACTAACTAACACAAGTTAGCTTATCATAACCTAACCTTGATGATACACAAAATATAGTATTGATATTTCTTCCAGTCATAGTTCTTTGAGAATTATCAAGAATAGGTAGAGAAAAATTTATATTTCTATACTGCTACTCACGTACATAATATGTTTTTAAAAATCCACACAACATTTTATCTCAAACAAACAAAAAATATATAAGAAAGAAGCCTGTTCAAGATAAGAAAATCAGTTGTCTTGGGTTAGATTTGAATGTCAGCCTGTAGTATCTTAGAACTTTGGTTCTTACTACCAAACCTATATGGCATCAAATACTTATGAACACAGCAATCAGTGTAGCTACAGTAACTTGTACAACTTTTATGTATATACAGTTTTGAACAAAATGTGCATATACTATTGTCTCTACCACCTGTTAGCATAACTGGTGAATAGTAAATTTCCAATACTTTATTACACTGTGAAATACATACTTTACAACCTAACAACTGCATATACCAATACCGTTTCTAACTCTTAAGAACTTATTTTTAAACTAATTTTAATGAATAAACTTCAAGTTTAATTTAACACTGACGATGATAAAAGACGACTGTTCAACGTTTAGTGCTAACACTGCCGTATTATTAATTTTTATTATGTCAATTTCATGATTAAAAACTAGGCCCAAGCCTTAATAATACTAATAGTAAATTAGTAATAGCCCTCGTATGACTACTAGTGAGTAGTACTACGGAAAACAGTGCTATCCATCTAAACTAAGGCTAGCCTAAACTAAAGTGAAAGGAGACTGAAATTGTGTCCATAAAGATAACAACTGTGAATCTTAGACGACAAATGCCTTATTTAGTTTTGAAATTATCTCTATAGTTTTTCTCACCCGGTTCCCTCCTTATCAATTTCCTTTGAGAGTAATTTCATCGCAAATAAGATTTGTACATACAAATTTATATCTTTGCTCTTCTTACTCTCTTACATCAGCATTAGTGACCAATGCGACCCCTGACGAAATTAAATTTTAACATACACACAAACGTTAGACCTAGAGTTTCATTACGCTTCTCTAGCTTTCACCATAACTGTGAACTTGAATATCTTCCGCTGATCAACGGCATGTAGTATACGCACTTACATGGCTAACATCCGGGGTTCGAGTTCCTGTGGTGGACCCAGCAAATAACCTAATGTGGTTTTGCTTTAATAGAAACAAAGAAACACTGAACATGTACACTTACAAAAAATCAGTTCCTACTAACCTAAGGAGATCCAAAAAGATACTTGATTGCTTTGTATACCGTAATATATATATATATATGTATACTTTATATGAAATAAATAAAATTCATGAATAATATAAGCTTTCTTTGTTTTGTAGTTAACCACAAAGCTGCACAATGGGCTATCTGTGCTCTGCCCACCACGAGTCTGGAAACGAAGCTCGGTTTCTAGCATTGTAAGTCCGCTGTATCACTGGGGAGGCTAATATTAGCTAAACTTTGCTCATGTTTGGAATTATTCGTCGTAAAATGCTCTCGGTAGTTCTGGGAGCTTATAGCTTTAAAAATCGTGTTTCGATACTCACGGTGGACAGAGTGCAGATAACCCTTATATAACTTTACATTTAACAACAAACGAATAATTCTTGTAAAATGCCTTTCTCCCCATTGTGGCTCAGCGGTACGTCTGAAGGCTTATACTGCCCAAACTCGGGTTTTGATAACCGTGGTAGGCACAGCATAAATAACCTGTTTATATTTATATGTACTGATATTTCTAAATATTACCTTAAAGTTCTCGATTCTTAACTTTCTCTTATTTTCCATCTTGTGAACAAACACCGAAATTAAAATATTTCTAAAATGTAGCTTACAAAATTGCTGCCTTCCTGAATTGTGAAGACTTCTGAACAATCCCAATACACAAATAAAGCAGTACACTAAACTGCCATTCACCATCACCAAATAGTTTTAGTGTTTTTTGTTTTTTTTCTATGAGGATTATGGTTTGAAAACGTGATGGCCTCTTGTCTCTTATGCCACTTGTTGTTTGTCACTGGGGAAGTTCTCATAAGTTATCTAACAAATCTACTAGTTCATCTATCCTTAGTGATCCTCTGGAAGTTGTCTCGACAGAAACCCTGGGCTCTATGACAGGTTGACTTTCCACTGGCAATTTCTTCTCTGAATATACCCACTTGGCCATTCTCTCACTGATGTACTTCCAAAAATGCTCATGGTGGATGAACTTTGGTTCAGACCGCCTGTTCTTCTCTAAACCACATCATTGATTATTTTCAGGCCCTTTCCAATAACAATTTAAATTTCAAGTTCATCCTTTCGTTTAACAGGGATTATAAGACCATAAAGTGTCACTTCGATGGAATTTATTTTTATCAAAATTACTTTTTGGTTTAAAACTATCTGATTTAAGTCTTTCAAGTAAAGTTATGTATAACATTAATGGTGTTCTTTAGTCTCTTTGCATATTTTTTGCAATACTGTGGATTAATTATCATCTGGATATAACTACAAAAGGCCCAATGTCACTTTAAATTATCTCTGAAACATCAGTAGTAATGACATGTTGCCTGTAGCTTCACGTATTTCTCATCGATAACTCATAAGTAGCAGTGGAAGATCTTGACCTCACATTTTCTGATGTTCATCCACATAAATTGTTATTTGATTTAAAATTGTATTATTGTATTTCTCTGCCATACCATTAAATGATGTATGGAGGACTGCTGTCCTGGTCTTTTTCATTCTAAGGATCTGACACATTTCTACAAAAAATGTTGATTCAAAGTCTTGTACCTGATTTGAGTGTAAAGTTCAATAGGCTTCCCAAATCTTGAAACAAGTTTGTTGACGAGTTTCTAGTTTCTGGTTAGAAACAGCACATCCTTTTGCCATTTTGCGAAATAGTCCAGGACAATCATGATGTATTTATTCCCACTGTTACTTTATGACAGTAGACTAAGCACATTGACAACACCAATTTACACAAGTTCTCTATACATTCCCAGCACTAAACCCAATTGAAGAACTTTCTTACCCCAGTTTCTTAACACATAAATGTTCAGCTGTTGAAAAGTTATGGAAATAACAGAATGCTTTAGAATGTAAAGACTATGCAAATACCAACTGAAGTTATTATTTCTGTGGACTGGTATCTTCCCATTTTCAACACAATAAAACATATTTTAGGTATAATAAATCTCACTGTTCCATATACGTCTTTGTCATTGGCTTTTTTAGGAGTGATTGTGTGACATGAAGGCGTTTTGAGTTATTCTTGATTCTCTGAATGATTGGTTTCAAACTGTTTGTTTGTTTTTGAATTTCGCGCAAAGCTACACGAGAGCTATCTGTGCTAGCCGTCTCTAATTTAGCAGTGTAAGA